CCAGTTTGGAAAAGGCGAGTGGATAGTCCACCACATGTACACTATGGAGCAGCTCAGTCCAATCCAGTACATATTTTAGCATATTTGGTATTTACATGACCAGGTTCTAGTTTACATAAATTTGAGTTTTCTGGGCTTCATCTTTGACCCTCCAGAAATACTGGGCCAGCACTCAAGCCTACAGCCTATTTACACTGAGCCACATGAACAAAAAGTGATAGCTGTGATTCAAGTCCAAAGCTGTAATACCTCCCAGCCATGATCTATGTTTGCCAATGTCTCAGAACTCAGATTCACATTAAAAACCTTCAGAACTGTGTTGGTATGACAAGCTGATGCTGTGAATAATGTTCTGCAGGTTTAAAAACTTTCTCAGCACATTCAACAACCTGTTCATGTACTCAGAGGCATAAACACCTTTCTGGAGGTGATTTTAGTTTTTAAGTGTGGCAATTATTTGGAAAGATTCCAGATTCACTATTCCTGTTTTTACACTGAAGCTGAACCTCCTCAACCTTCTCTGATACTACTTAAATGCTAAGTGAAAACACGTAACTCTAAACTAAAATTCAGATATTCTCCAGTTACACAGTGATTTAAAGGCTGAAACATTTTACAGGACAGAAGGTTAAGAACTGTGTACACTTAGGGCCAGAGGACAAAAATGCTTCAGAGCTGAAAGCTGTATCATGTAGTTTCTAGGTTTTGTTTCCTGAATACACATTGAAGCAATTAACTGAATCCTCAGGAAGTTCTCAGAGGCAATTTAAACTGCCTGCCTAAAGAGTAAGGGCAAGATCACACCTGTAATTTATTTCAGAAGTCTGACATACTGACAAAAAATAAAAATAAAGTATTTTAAGTTAAAGAACAAATAAATAAGGTCATTCCTTTTATATATTCTTAAAAGGAAAATACAATTGACAGATTTTTTCCCCCATCTTCCACCAGAAAAAGCTCTTTCCCCTGTGCTTACATACACACTAAGATGACATCTCTCTCTAATCATTAGAAAAGTGGGTTAAAAGGTCACATTCCATAAAATTAAGATCCATCCATTTCAACTTTATAAGCAGGTATTTAACTTTCGGATCAAAAAAAGGAAAAGGGTGCCTTGCTACAGTTTATTTTATAACATACTGCAGACTCAATGTCTTTCCACAAAAGAATCTGCATTCTTCTTGACGTGAAAAGAAACAATCTCTAGTTCTGTTCTCTTCTGTTTTTATTACTATTGATGAGTAGGATTACAGTTCTGTCACAACCTACAAGACTACAATTTTGTCATGAGTTAGAAATTCTAATTCAGTGGATTATCTATTTCTTAAAAGAAAGTCACATGAAATGGCCAAGTCAAATCAAATCAGTATCTCTGATTCTTCATTCTCTTAGTATTCTTCAGATGTTGAAGCAAATTAATATAGTAACACAGCTCAGCCAATTATTTTTGTTCCTGTGCAAAGCAGACAAGTACCAGAAAGGTGAAAACTGCAACCTAACTGGAGAAGCAGCTGAAAGAACAGCCAAAAAAAGGATAAAATATAGTATCAGCATGAAAGCACTGACACAGTGCTCTGTAGGAAGAAAGGAAGAAAGGAAGAAAGGAAGAAAGGAAGAAAGGAAGAAAGGAAGAAAGGAAGAAAGGAAGAAAGGAAGAAAGGAAGAAAGGAAGAAAGGAAGAAAGGAAGAAAGGAAGAAAGGAAGAAAGGAAGGAGTCTGCAACATTCCAAGGGCATCCATAAAAAAAGAATATGTAATCAATTGAGATAAGAGACAAGCAGAAAAAAAAAAAAAAAAAAGAATGAGGTATTTTCAAAGAGAGAAAACATATTCTTGCACAACTAGTTTTCCAATTTACACGCTAGGCAAACGAGCTATAAAAAGCCTTTTCTGAAAACAGTGTCATATTTTGCTTGTATTAGCCAAGAAATGTGTATTTACTAAGCATCCGGAAAGTCATGAAAACAACCCAAGAAGAGTTTAAAACTGCCTTAGGTTTAGCTGCATTGTAGCTAAGACAATAGACATTAACAGCCAGCATATCCTAAACACTGCAAAAGTGCCACACAGTGGTTTTCTGGATGCCCCTGGAGAAACCGGGAAGTCTGAAATTAAGCTTCCCTGGTTTACTGTTTAAACATCACGAACATCCAACATAGGCAGTCAGGAAATGGGGGAAACAGTTTAGAAATGTATCATTCCTTTAGGAAAAAGAAAACAAAACAGAATGAACCGCATGGCTTTTGTTAGCGGCTCCAGTGTATATATAAAAGTTGGGGAACAATGTCCCTGTTTGGGAACGTGGCGACTGCGTTTCACTTCCGTAAGGAATTTGTTTGGCCAAGCCGACTATATATGGACAAATACACTTGCCAACGTTACGGTGTCTGTTCCTGCAGCTGCATAGGCCTTACCTTTTAGGGTAAGGCTTCATCAGTGCTTGAGGAGTGGGGAAAAGTATTTCATTGCTATTTTCACCAGTTATCATATGGAGCAGTCCCTAGTTTGAAAAATGAGGGCTACACAGAGAGCTATTTGAGGGAAAGACCATAAATCACGCTGCAGGTGAGCGGCGAGGACCCTTTCCTGCAGCAGGCCATCAGACACGTTCAGAAGGTCCAGGGGAGAATACCTCTGCCTGAAGAATGGCACCAACTCTCCTTGCACACAGGGAAGGAAGGGCAAGGAGAACAGAGTGGCAAGCGGCCTGACTGACTAAAATTTTGATCAGCAGGGAGGCTGAATCAGCAAAAGACAGGTTAGAGAAGAAAGCAATAGGCAAACTTAAAAGTAAGGTACTAATTAATGCTCTTGTCAACCAGCGACCCATTTTGTAGGTCACACAACATGAGACTAAACACTGGCATTTTGATGCTTCCTGTCTCTACATTTGAGGACAATGCACTGGCAAAAATAAAAATAAAAATAATCAGGAGCTTCTTCAGCACTGTTTCCAGCAAAATGTACCTGAGCTTTTCACAGTAACATCAACAAGCTACACAAAGCCATGTATCAGTCTGAGTAAGCCAAAGTCAGCAATGTTTCATATGTCTGATACAGAAGATGACTCTGATAGCAGATTATACTCTTATAATGCTGCCTCAGGAATGGCAATGATGCAATGAAGGGTGACAGCTTGGTTGTGTTCCTGTTTCAGGATAAGAATGTGCTTGTTGCAAATACAAATTATCATTTTCCATCAACAAATACAAACCACCAGCTTCTCAGTAGTCAAATATTTAAAATTTTACATTCTAGCATTGATAATGATTAACAAATACCCCACTTTTTCAATGTTTCTATGAACGCTGATATAATAAAGGTGAAACTGATAAATAACTCCCTATATATTAGCATTCTTTGTTTCTCACCTCTCCCAGATATTTATTAAATCACTGAACTGATACAGCTTACAGCAAACAGCAAGAGTTAGGAACAACTGAATTTCCCTTTCATATGCCACACCTAACACATTAATGTTATTAGGTTAAAAAGTTGTAATGTGACAAGTAACTGATGGTGACAAAACAAAAACTCTTACTGGGCAAGAATCCACAGGCAACTCTCAAAACTATCTTAAACACAGCCCAGATTAAATGGAAGAATGATTTCTTCAGGTAACCAAAGCATCTCTAATGGCTCACATCCCATTATCTATTGATACCATTGCATCAGGAACGCCACAGTCTGTCACCGTCAGTGACAGCTTACTCAACTAAGGCACTAGCATAGTGACCAGAAAATTGACAAAATAAAGGCAATGTGACCACAAACACAGCACTACAGATGGTCCTTGCTTCAACAGGTGGCAGTGAAGAGTTAATCAGAAGGCAGTTCCCACTTCACTGGCTATGAGGAAGTCCCTCTGTGCACCTGGAGAGCAGCTGCCAGTCTTACCACAGCTCTTGCTCACTGTAACAGGTGACAGTTCGTCCTTTAAAAGGGATCTCAGGTGACTTTGAGATAATCTCTGTAAGGAGGGCATTCAGTATCTTTGGGAATGAAGTCCCACACTTTTCAGTCTTCCCTTTAAAAACACAGCATAAATACACGTTAGGTTCTAGGTTGGAAAAAAAAAGCACTGCTTAGCAAACGCATATAGCAGCAAACAGGGTAAAATCACCCAGCTTATACAACTAAGAATAAACACTGATTCCAAAACTCAGAAGTAAGATCATCAGAAGGAATGCAAAACAATTTTTATCTCCTTTCAGGCTCATTTGGTGCATGGGAAGTTGCCTTCCCTTAGAAGTCAGATCTACTCTCCGAAGGTTCCCAAGGGGGAGGGAGATCAGATAGCTGAAGGCTTTAGGCTGTTATTTTATATTCTACGACCTACAACTGGAAGAATTTAGAAACACACTACTACTTACAGTCTATTAACAGAAACAGCCTTTGCATTTTGTTGGAGATATAAAACAATTCCAATATGATGTGGGTGTTGGTTTTTTTTGTTGTTGTACCTATAAGATCTAAAAATGTTCAAGAAGAGACACTTCTAAATTATTTTTGAAATTCCTATCTTTAGTTCCATCCTTTATGCAATGTATCTGTCTCCCTCTAGAAATCTGCTTTAAAACATTAGCTAATAAAAGCTTAAAACATGTATTTTCTACAAAGGATTTACAAGATTTAATACTATATTTATCATGAAACTGGCTCTAGTATATCAACTGAAGTATATCAAATATTCCATTTACAAGGAAGCCAAGTAAAAGCTGTTTGAAAGGAACACATTAGTGAATGTGAGTCTCCCAATACTGCAAATGTTTCATGTGAGACAAAACTGTAAACCAGAGAGCTAAACATAAATGAATTCTTCTGCTGAATGTACGCTTTTGAATCCTGCAAAGAGATCAACTATTTTTTTGTGAAGAATCAAAAGAAACACACTTTAAAAAAAAAAAAAAAAAGCTGATATCCACGCCATGAGAAAAGATGTATGTTCATTTATAACAGTCCATTACCAAAGCTATTGAAACAAAATAAACAAGACCCACAGTAACAGCTGGAAGGTCACGAAGCTCCTGTCTTCCTTCTGTCCCCATGTGCTCATTCTCGTAATGTTCACACAGATCAGTAGAAGTTACACACACTTTCATACAGAGTGGACAGATGAAGCCCTGTGAAATGTATATTGGTCTTTAAGAAACTAATAAAGACACAAAAAGATCTGGAATCAAATGATGTTCAAATTTTTATGATGAAAGTTCTTACAAGCACTAAAAGCAAAGTCTGCAGCTACTTCCTTTTGGAAGGTTAATTTTTGCAAACTGCATATCAATTCCATGGGGGAAAAAAAAAATGGTTATTAAGAACATGAAAATAAATCTAGAACACACTTTAAAAGCTAGTACCATGCTGCATATTATTGTTTTCCAGGCACCCTTGGGACCCTCTTCAAGTGGCAGAGGAACATGCAGTGTAACAAATCATGAATGGACCGTTAAAGGCATCAGATCAGATCCATCATGCAGTTTCCCACAGGCATTTTCAGATGCATGACAGAAAGAGACCAGGATGGTACACCGAGACTGCAGAAATATCTCTGTAAATTAATAAGCAAATTTACAGCAGAATGAGAGGCATAGGTGCTAGTGCAACCGCGTGTCCAAGCAGTATTCCCACTTAGGGAAAAAGAAGCGTCTTTCTTGGTAGAATTAAAAAAAAATAATGGAGGCGGGGGGGGTGGGGAGATTAAACATTCTCAACCAGGGATTCACCAAAGCCATAAGTTAAATGAGATTCTGAAGAACAGCAGCTTTAGATGCTCAAGAAACATCCTTAACCACCTGGAAAAAGCTGGGTGTAGCATAACCTGCTGTGGGTCTCTGTCCACACTGCTGGCTGCAGGACGCCTGCACCTCCTTGGCAGACCACTGAAGAGGCAGAGAGAACGGCCTGAACACAGCCCCTGCAGAGGTGCACGTCCACAAAGGAGGGCTGTGGCAGGTCTGTCTAACCACTGCAGCCATGGTATACACTAACAAAAGTGTACACCACAGGTGGACTGCAAACATGCAATATTTAGCAACCCTTTACTGCAGATGGAGTTGCACTGGGAGCTAAGGTACAAAGAAAGAAAAGGCTCAAACTTTTCCTTCTTAGATTGCACTGTAAATAAAATACATATCCAGAGCTAACTACAGGTCCATGTGTGACATAGCCCCAGAAGGGACTCAAACAAGCTTTCCTCTCTTGTTGAGCAATAAACAGTTTGAATTTAACCAACCTTCCTCACTCCTTTTGTTTTTACTACAACTCTGAAAAGTCAGGAATGATTTCAACCAGGTTCGAAGGGAGTAAGAAACATGAGAAACTATCCAGATTTAATGATTATTCTCCATTTGAATCTTACAGAAATACAAGTTAGAAAATCTAGTTAAGAAATTGGAATGAAAACAAGTCAACTAGATTTCTGGTTTTATGCAATACTGGAGAACCAGGTGGGATTGTAACTATATGAAGGATAGAAAACATTCCGCAAAGCCTGGCTAAGGTGCTTCTGGAGAGAAAGTTCTCTCAAAGAGAACATTTTACGACAGCTGCACAGGAAAAGGAAGGCCAAGAGAAAGGCTCAAGTTGCATGCCAAAATGCATGAATCTCAGGAGAATGAGAAACCATCACCAGCTTCGGAATTCAGTTTCAATCAGATTTGGAAATTGTGTGCTAAAGAGAACACCCTACTTGTAACTAATGCAGCAGATGGTGGAAGTATTGACAACTAAAAAAATACTTTTTAATATGTTGTGTAGTATCAACTGAAAGTGACACAGCAGCCTCTTTGGCCTGACTTGAGTTTAAACTCAGTAGCAAGAAAAACTAATGGTGCAGTAGGGCAGGCACACCGACACTGTTAAAGCACGTCCTACGTCAAGAAGATAACCCTACATTAGTACTGAGGTACCTTGTGACACCCACCAGCTGTACAGTCAGTGGTATTACACTCATGCTAACAGAGCTGTGCAATTTTAGTCAAACTTTGGAAAGAAAGTTATCTCATTGCATATTTTTATGCCATGGTTAACTATAAAAGCAATGAGATTTTAGTCTGTAAAGTAAAAATATTTATTTGCTTCAGGGACAGTGAAAATATGCATACAAACTAGAACTGAACTCGCAAATGCATTACATGTAAACATGCAGCAAGAAATTAATGAATGTTTGATTATACTGACTGTAACATGGCTTTGAGAGCTAAGAATTAAGCAGATGCACAGATGGAAGGCAATTAGGATTTTAAACAGTACAGTGAAAAAAGTTCTCTTATCGGTTATCGTAACAGACATAGGAGTATTTGAATCATCGCACACTTCATTCAGTGTAAGAAAGGGCACTTTGCTCCCTTTAATGCTGTAATAGGAGTAATTAACCTTGCACTGCAATTGTATGTCAAGCTTGATACATATTTGCAAGCCAGGTAATCAGGCTATGTTAGCACAAAATAGCTTCAACAGCCAGTGAAGTCAGCTTGCATTTTTAAAAGTTAATATTTGACAACACTGTAAATCTAAAGACATTGTAATACTGGATTGAAGCAAGAATAACAACTTATTCTGCTGGCTAAGCATTTCATACAACACATTAAAAAAGAGACAGGACTTGTAACTGGTAGCTTTTTGAAATGAAAACCAGACAAAAATCAACACATTTGATATTTTACATGGAGAAGGGAATTTCCAACATACGTTACAGCTAGCACAAGCAAGGTGTAAAGGAATTACAAGAGTGCAAAAATGTTGAGCCTTGTTTTTCCAAACTCATAAAACATTTATAAATGAGGAGTGTTAAACTGATGTCTCCTTGCTTTTAATTTTAATGATTCATCTCTATGATTACAGGAAGGATTGCTTGTGACCATTAAGATTATCTTAATCAAAAGTTACACATTTAAGTCATCTATCCTCACTTTTTATTTAAACAAGGACCTATTCTTAGGCAATGACACTTGCTAGTATTTACTTTGTACAGCTGTTAATTGAGGTATGGCATCAAAAGGAATGCCCACCAATTTCATGGACCCAAGAAACAAGGTTTACAACTCCAAATCCATGTATCAGTGCACAGTACCTCAGAGGAGCCTTCATTGTTGACATCCACAGCATTTCCTGGTGCGGCAGATGAATCAGAATCAGAGCTCTGAGACCCAACTCTGCCTGGAGTCTAGAAGAGAAAGGAGAGGAAAGATGAAATGTCTGCTGACTGCATTTAACAAAGCATGGCATGCAACTTGTGGAAAAGCCTCTCTTCTATTTACTAAGACAGAGAAGTATTTTCCCTCCACAGAGTAATGAAATGAACAAGCTGACAAACCAATTACCTAATTTTCAGTGCAACACTTCAACAAAGCTTTTATCCGAGACTCAATATATTATACAACAAGAAGACACCAAATGCAAAGGCCAGGATTTTAACTCACTTCCTCTTATGAACGCTCAAAATGAAACAAAGAATTAAGCTAAAGTCTGCCCTTACATCACTCATTCTGATGTTAAGTTAGGTCTCTCTATCAAATAGAACACCAGAAATTACAAAATAAACATTTTCAGAGTGGCAATACCATAATGCTTTCTCAACAACCTATCTACAATCTCAAAGACAAAAAATTAAAGACAATTAAAGAGCAAGGACCCTGCTGATGTGATAAGCAGACATGGAGGCACACTAGTGCTGTAATTTGAAATAGAAAAAATACCCAAGTGTTAAACTTATGGCTAAGTTAAACCATGTTTTCAGTAAGACAACCTACAAAAATAAATTCCCATGAGCATGCTGGAAATGAAAACAACATTACTGATTGAAACCATAGATTCAGAGAAAATAAATTCCAGATAAATTTGAAGTACTACTTGATTCAAAAATTGGATAGATGGATCACTGCTTATAAACCTTATTTAAATCTAACTTTGTTTCAAATTAAATTTAACTTCTCTTACTTGTCTCCGCAACTCCACTGCTTGACCAATGACAGAAGATTTAGCATTCATAAAGCAAGCACTGGTAAATAAATTATCTTAATACTGATACTCAATCCTAGTTTTTACAAAGAACAGAAATTCATTATCTAATTCCATGACGACAACTGAAAATGGGATGAAGTAATGTGACTTCAGCATTTCCAGCCCATCTGGAAATACATGTAATGTTATAAAGGAATTTCTAATTTAATGTAGGGGGAATTAAAGACATAGAATTTAAAATATTAAGATTGAAATCCACAGACAGAGGAACAGAATTTGATAAATAGTTTTAGTTTCTAAATCTTGGTGTCTCCAAAATTCTGGTTTAGGATTTTCCTTCTTGAATATATCCTTTCTTTTCAGACAAATCAGTCTGATTTACAACATACCTATAACACGAAAGCTTTTCCATACTTGGAAACTGAGGTACATTTTCCTGCTGTGTTTTGTAAGGAAGGTTCTATTTTTCACCTCTTATAAAGACTACAGCCTTGTAATCAAGCAAACATAATAAAAACGTCAAGTTTACTGATTAAGGACTTCATACCCAGCGAGATACTGCTAAATTTTAGAACGGCTCCATAGACTGACCCAAGGGAAGTGAGCAGGGCTGACAGAAGCGAGCTACCAGGAGCTAGTGACAGTAACTGTGAGAACATCTCTCCTCATTCTGGTCTTTCCTGGGGTCATCATTGAGATGGGAGGTTCCCACTCGAGGTAAGAAGTTTCTTCACCGTGAGGACAGGCCTTAGTGGCCCACTCTGACCTCGCAGCCAAGCCTGCCCACAGCAGGAGGTTGGACTGCATTTGTGAACCCACGTTGTGCGAGGACAACAAAGCCGAAGAGGATGTATATACACGTCTGCATGAAGAAACACAACTAAGTCAGGTGCCACAGCTTTCTCCCATAAAGGAGCTGAAATTTCAAGATATCAGAAGCAGTTTCTTAATGATAGGAATTTTTCAAAAGGCTTTAAAAATCTGAGCATGATGAAAAGGATTTTGTATGGCAATTAGCTACAAAGGATCCTCTGTCCCCCAGAAAGGTGAGAAATTGAACCCCTATCTGTCCCAATACCTACATCCACACGTAGAAATGGGATGAGAAAGTGTCGGCATTAGCAGCTATGCACTTCTGCAGTAATCCTTTAAAACAAATGGAAGCCTTTGGCTCCTCTCTTCAGTTTCAAAAACTGAAGAATAATAATAAAGAATAGTAAAAAGTAAAAGTAAAGAATAATACCTTTACATACCTAGCCTCGGACAGCAGAAGAGGGAAACTGAATAAAAGTTGACAGCCTGGACAATGAGAGTAACAGATGGTCTGACCGTCTATGGAGGCAGGCAGAATATACCTCTGCTTTTGCAATACCTGACAGCATGCTTTCGGTATAGTGAATCAATCATTTCTTCCCCAAACCAAGAACCTCCCGTGACAACTAAGACAGAAGAACAACATTTTCTTCATTTTATATTGTAACTTCTTAGACAACACAATAGCACAGAGTTCATCAGCTATCGTGTGGCAGGACTGTGTTTCACAATGAGACTTGCATATTAGGTTCTGCTAGTTTTAGCACCACAAACTGGAGATTATTACAACCTTGAGGATGAAAGATGATATATTACTGTATTGTTACTACAAGGTTGATTAAAATACTTGCTGTATGAAACACCTCAGACATGCTATAATCACACTAAAAGGCACTGCTTGGTTCGTCTGATTAGATGTAATATGAAAGAGAGAAATTACTAAACAGTACCTAGTAAAATCCTTTTAACGCTTTAAAAAACCACAATGTGCTCATTATAAAATGGAAAGCATGATTCAAAGCTAGATTTAGAAAGGTTAGTACACTTCTCGTGAGTGGTATGCATAAGAAAGAAGAGTGGGAAGGAAAAAGGTCATTAAGTACCTTTCCACATCAGGAGAAAGGCACCACAGCATCCATCTGATAACTAATACAAACTGTCAAGAAAAATTTAATACAAATTTGGAAGGATGTTATGGAGACCAAGACCATAAATGCAACTAACTTATCCTTTAAAGCTGTACTGTAATTTAAATGTGCTTCAACAGACAAATAAAGAATGGGAGGACTGATACATCAGGACTTTTTCCTTCTATTGAGCACCCCATGATGAAATAAATTCATAAACATATTTAAGCTTGGCTCCCACACCACTGCCATGCCATGTTCCATTAAAAAATAAATAACACATTGAACATCATACCAAATGGGGCGCAGACTTTGTGAACTAGGGAGAGACCCAGAATAATGTTCTCTGTTTTCAGTTACCTTTCTTATTCTTTACTTAATAAAGCTCTGGGCTATATAGGGGAGCAGAAGAATGACTTATGAATCACACAGGCTTCTGTATATGTATTTTAACATAACTAACATTTGATCCCTAAAGCCACGCATGGAGATATAAGACTGACACAAAATTAGTCTCTAAGCCAACACATTTCTTTCCTAGTTGTCCAAGTTCTGTTTGTTTATTGTGCTGAGAAGCACGCATTTCTACTCATAGTGCTATAGCTGTGGAAATGACATGCTAAACTTCATCATGTTGTTCTCTGTGTTTTCTCCAAACTGCAAGCTAATATAAAGAAACATCATTAACAACAGAAAGCAAGACGAGTGCAGCTTGTTTTCTGTAAAGGAACAGAAAATTATATAATGAATGAGTTGAGTTAATACATTAAAATGACAGAGTATAAATATGGATCTCTACCATCTCATTTTTGCACAGTCATTTATCTGTCTATAGCTACGCTCCATTCACTTGTGAAGCTCTTTCAGCAGTTTTAAATTCAGAATAAATTAAACCTTTGAAAAATATGTTAAGCCTCAAGAATGTCTTAACAAATATAGATTTATATAGCTTTTTCCAGCACAGGTTTAAATACTGCATAAGGGTATTACTGCCCAAACCTACTATGGTCTTGAAGCAACTAGCAAGATGCAAGAACAAAAAGATAAGACAGCAAAAGCCTCTGGTATTAAACAACTTTCAGTGCATTTTTCATCCCTCTGTTTTGCTTTTGTCTACCCTTAAAGACATTATAGCCCAAACAAACTCAAAATATTTTTTTCTCTGCAGAAGCTTCCTAAGAAAAGAGCAAGTTTTTTTATTTGGATAGATTCTACTTCACACTTCAAAACAATGTTCTGCAGTCAACATCTTTTCAAGGCCTCCCTACGAGATTTCCAGCTCTCGAAACACTGTAAATCTAATTAAGCACACCTGATAACACCGTCACTTAAAAGTAATTAGCTCGCATGCCAGAATCAGAGTACACCATGTGTACAGAACAGTAGTAGCGTTTACTTCTTCGGAAGCGTGACAGCTGTTTTTCGGCTGCGTTAAAGGGAAGGACTCCCATGCTCGGGGGCACGAAGCCTTCCCCCCATCGCGCTGCCTGTCCTGTCCCTCGGAGCAGGCCTCCCCGCCGCCCTGTGTGAGGGCACCGGCACGGCCACGGCTCAGCACCCACCTGAGGAAACACGCCAGCCCTGTAATTATAAACGTAACAAAGAGAATCATAGGCGCCGTATGAGACACAACACACCCTAGACACGTGAATATCTCCAGTCCTGAGGATGGAGAAAGAGAAAAGGCAACCATGCTACCTGAGATACAGAAATGCCTGCAAAACCTGCCAAGAACCTAAGTGTACCAAGTAGTGTTAGAAACAAAGCATCTTACCACCCAAACACAGCACAGTGGCTAACAGGTAGAGATAGCCTGCTAAACACGAAGAATTAAGGCAAAAACTAACGTAAACAGTAGTCACGCCGGCCCACCAGAGACATTCTTCACCACAAGATAGGACAGCTGAGAAAGAAGAAGGCCTAAGTAATTAGTTTTCCAAGAACTAAAAATAAATGCCTCCTCCCTACAGAAATGCTCACCCCCATCTAAGTTTTGGTATCTGGTGAACGTAAGAAGCGGGCTCTGCTCTCTGCTTCAGCAGACCAGAGGCAGCGGTCACCAGCTCCACCAGTAAATGCCCAACTGGGAGGGGAAGCACTGGCCACACAGGGCCTTCGGAGCTGAACGTAATCAGACAGCTCTCCGGGGAATACGTGTAAGTAGGGCTGACAAAAATCAAACTATCTGGACAGGAAAGTTGTCTGTCAGTCATTCCACACAGACCTCCTTCAGGAAGGACTACCTTCTCCCTAGATCAGCATGACAAACGATGCCTGAAACTGAGGAGTGACAAGAGCCTAAATGAAAGACTTTTTTTACAGTGCAAACACACAGAACAGATGGATCTTTGAGATACTACATTGAAAACACATAAAATGTAGGAAGAGCCTGCAGCGAAAGGACCTAAAAGGAGGTCCTGGTTCAAGACAGCACTGAGACTCTAACTTCAACAAGAAACTGAGTGATGTTCAGTAGTAACAAGTACATAATACTTTCTGGTTTAGAAATATGCCAAAGTTACTGAGGGTATTCTTCTAAAAACAAAAATTAAACTGTGGAGGAAATAAAAAGGTCATCAGCCAACAGGAAGAGTGTAAAAAGAAGCATCTGATGTTTCAAAACGTCAGGAACCAGAATGTCAAGTAAGTGACTGAAACTGCAAACAGCATCTTTTTAGCTTTGGTCTTCCTCCTTTACAGCTTGATGCCAGCCTCTGAACCACAAAAAGACACCTTAAGGGAGAAGTTTACTTGTTGCCTATAAGCCAATAACAAAACAAAAACTTATATAAGAAACAATGTTTCAGTGACTGCAAGGATTGTTTTTTCAAGGGTTTGTTTTTTCTCTTTTAACCAGTTACATTGATGCCACACAAGGAAGGACCAAGAGGAGGATCCCCTGGCTTTCAAATCACTGCTTCAGCGATGGGAAAGATTTTAATACTTATTTTCTCTGTGCCAAAAGACCCTTACAAATTTTGCCATTTCCCTATTTATTTTGGGGCAGTTTTGTTTCACCTCTGTTAGCAATTGGCTCTGCTATAATCCTGCAATTTTGGGAACCCCTGGGGAACGGTTATTTGTTTAAAATTTCCAGTGAGAATGGCTGTTTCTAATACCTGAAAACTTTTATACCGACTTTAGGTTTTTAGCTAAACTTATCACTCAGGGGCAAATCTCCCTTGTACCGGGGTGTTTTGTACATCGCATAACCTCTCCTCAGAGGCCTGCTGTGTCTCAGAACCAACAAAACACCTGGTTTAACGCCAGCAGCATTTAGTGAGACCGACGCTGAGGTCTCCCTGCTTCCTGCTGCGCCTTCCCACCGGCTCTCAGCAAGCGCCTCGGTGCACAGCGGGGGCAACCTTCCCCCGGCGAGGCTGCACGGAGCAGCCAACTCGGGACACGTGCTTGAGGCCAGCAGCCACCGTGGAGTCCCCTGGGCCGCCCGGCAGCCCCCGCTCCTCCTTGCGGCAGCCGCGGGGCGCAGCCAGCACCCGGCAGCCGCCCGGGGAGCCTCCGGGCCGCGGGGTTCGACCAGCGCGCAGCCGGCTCCGGGGATGCAAGATGGACGCGGGCGGCTCGGGAGCCTCCGGCGGAGCCGCGGCCTCTGCCCAGCGCCGGGCGGGGACCCCGCAGGCCCCGACCCGGCTGGGCTCGGCACGGAGCCGCCCCCGCGGCGCCGCCAGGCCGGCGGGAGAGGGAGCAGCGGCGGCGGCCAAGCAGGCCGGGCCGGTGTCCCCCGCCCCGAGCCCGGCCGGCAGCAGGAAGCGGAGCCGCGCCGAGCCGAGCCGAGCCGAGCCGAGCCGAGCCTCTCCCCGCCTCTCCCCGCCGGGCGCCTTACCCGCTGCAGGATCCGCCTGAACATGGTGGCGGGGCCCGGGTGCCGCCGGGCGCTCGCGGTGGCCGCCACGCCGAGGGGAAGCCGCGGGGCCCCGCGCAGCGCCGCCCCCGCCCCGCAGGAGCGCGGCGCGGCCCCGAGCCCCGTGACAGCCGCCGCGGCCGGGAGGCGGAGCAGCAGCCGGGGCGGGACCGCGCCGCGCCGGGCAGGGCACGGCACAGCTCGGCACGGCTCGGCACGGCTCACACCGCCTCGGGGAGCCGGGCCCTGCGCTGCGGGGAAGGACCTGAACCCCGCCACAGCGCGTCTGGATAAGCGACAGAGCCAAACCCGCTGGGAGCTGAATCCTGGATGCCCCCGTGCTGCCTTACAGCCCCGGGCTGCCCCGCCACATAGCCCCTTACAACCCATCAGGAATTAGTGCTTTGCTTACACGCACTGTGGCCAACGCACAGCTACCCCGAAACAAAAATAGCTAAATAGAGTGGTTCTATCAAGGCAGAGCCTGTGCTTATCGGTGCTGAGGCAAAAACCCATATGAGGCTGTTGGCAGGAGAGTTGCTACAAAGCCAGTAGCCTCCAGAATGCATCTGAACACATTTGGCATTTCCTTTTCTGTTCTAAAGCTGCAACTTTACATACGTGATGCAAGGCATCATGACCCATAATACACCTGAGCAATGACACTCTGTCCTGAGCACAGAAAACACTAAATGCCACTTGCGATACAAAGATTGAAAACATTTTTCCACTCAGGAGCTGAAATTTCTAAGTATCCTAAAATCCAAGGGTTAGCATGAGTTATGAGCACAGGGCAGGCAGGATTCAGCTGCAGCAGCTTAAGACTTGAGGCACCGTAGCGTTACGTGTTTGAGCTGAGTTCACTCCAGCTCCAGGTGCCAGTGTGTTCCCTGCTGTTGTAAATCCTCAGATGGGGCAGGTTAAGAGCATGAACCAAGGTGGTGGTGGCTTCAGCTGCTGCGTGGTGACTTCTTTGGTCACATCCGTCAGATCATTTTCATTTCTGTGTCCACAGTTTGAAAGAGCTTTAACATTGGCTGTACTATCTGGTAATTACATCTGCTTCTGAATTTTCTGCTTGGGATTGACAATTGGAACAAAATTGTTCTTGCACAGCTGTACAGTTACTTAAACGTCTAGGCAAGCTGCAGATGTTTACTCTAAATCTATTCAAAATGACTGCAAATTTTAAAACGTCACTCCCTTTACTAGGTATTTCAACAAGAGCACTTGGCAACTTAGATGACGAACTGCTGAAGTGCTTAGTTTGCCATGCCAAGTAACTTAAGCGGCCCATTTGTTACTCTCCCAAGTTAGCAATTCTTCCATCCTCAGAGAAAGGTGACAGAAATTTGAGGACACTAATGAGAAGTGTCCATCAGAGGAAGATTTTCTTAGATGAGTAGTGCAAGGAAATGCACGACCATTTCTTTGTGTGGATGTTTGTGTGAATTTGTTTGCAAATCTGTCTCCCTGTCCATTCCCTCAGTGACTTCTGCATCCAATGGCCAATTTCAATCAAATATGACAGAACCAGATAAGGCTCAAAGATACTGAGCTCCTACAAATTTCAGCAGGCAACCAGGAAGAGGATAGAGAGCCTACTCATTTCCCTTTGTAAAGTAAAGACTGCAGCTCGACTACCTCTACTAAATACCAAGAATGCACATAAGAATTCACCCTTGGGGCAGACATGAAGGAAAAAAGAAAAAGAAAAAGAAAAAAAAAAAAGGGAAGAAAAAACAAAAAAGATTTCATCAGTCCCGTTTCCAGTGGAATTCCTTGCTTTTAATTATTACGTATATAGTAATGCTTACGAATTAATAGCTGCAGCACTCTCATGCTGTTTGAATATGGTTTATGCCCTTGGGCATGGGAGTTGCAAATTTTCGTTTCATCCAACCTCATAAACTCTGTGATGGGTTTGGTGCCTTTTTATGGAGTTCATTGGTGACACAAAGAGCCTTGGACCAGAATCATGGCAAAGACTTTCACGGACGTTCCAGCTGGAAGCGGGTACTTCATCCTCTGAACAGAAGTCAAAGGCTTAAAGTCTGAACTCACATCAACCTCTTGCATACCATTAGCTGCAGAACCCAGCAGGCCTTTATTTCAGCAAACAATCAAAATCAATCTTTTGACTGTATAAGCAGTATTCAGAATGGCCCAGCATGCAGTAGCACCTCACAGACATTCCGACAGAGAGCTGCCTTTTCTTTTGGTTTTGTTTTCGGTTTTATGGCTATGCATACAGCCAAATAAAAGGAATGATTCCTGGTCTGTGGCACACAGGACACTATGCCCATGTAATCTTTTGCCATCACTGAGGGCCACAAGGAGCCACCAGCACATTGCACAAAACAATAGGGAAAAAGTGCGATAACATCAACATCACATACGCTAGCTTAGACCTGTGGCCTGTAAATTTTCAAAGATTCTGGGCTACTGTCCTGTGTATTATCAATGTTTATATGGATGATTGTTTTCAATCATGTCAGGTTCCTGACCTCAAAATCTCTTGGTCACAATCTCATTGGGTTCATGATGTGCTGCAATAGTAAAGTATCCAATTGTTTTCAAGATGTTGCCTTCAAGTTTCCAATTTATAAAGGGATTAGAAAGTCTATCTCTTTTATTTTTTTTTTCTTTTTCTTCCTAGCTCTTAAGTTGTACATTTTTGACTGTCACTGTATGCTGTTCACGTATTTTCAGCAAGCGTCTTTCAGATTTGCCCACATCTTTTTATGAGGCTCTTTCCTTTCAGGTTAAACTCTATGAATTTAAGTTGAATGCACAAAACAGATGGTTTAAAGGATTTGTATGCTGAAAACCATAATGGCTAGCAGGTAAAAGTAATATGTTAAAAATCCACATCACAGACCATGGAACAGGCAAAGACAAATAATAAGATTAAAGATTAAGAGTATTAAAAACTTGCCAACCATCTGTCTTCAAAGATTAAAAGTTTCCATAACCTCCCCTTTATCTTCCTCACCCAAGTACCTCCAACAAATGCATGTTTGAGGTAATGGGAAAAAAAATGGATTCTACACAGAGTTTAAATATATATTTAAAAAAAATACAGCTTACAATATGGAAATTATTGATCAGGTTAAGTCTTTTATCTTAAAATACTTAAACAAATAGGCACAATAAGTTTGTTAGCTCTGGAAATTGTTCAAAAGGTTTGCACAACTACCGTGCATGTTTATTAAATGGCAGCCAAGGAGTCCAGATACAGATAAAGCTTACAGCCACCATCTTCCATTTAGTCCTCAATGATTTAGAAAACCTGTCATCTGGAGTTTGGGTTCTAAAATGCTAGATCAACATCATGCAGTGGTTTGCCATGCTAATTTGGTCACTTGTAAAAAAAATAAAATAATTATATATATATATATATATATGTTAAGTACATAACATTTCATAAACAGATTAAGCTAGTAAATTTGTGAATAGAAAAGGAAGGAAGCATTGTAAGTGCAGAAGTGTAATTCATAGGTGAGTAGTACATTGTAACTTATAACGTTACTGAAACCAGGAGAAACACCAGGAATGTGCAAATTCACCCAAGTGGTTTAGGAGCATGTATTCCATAGAAAATTAGGGATTTGTGTATTCCTAAATGGAAGCACCATTCCATCAAAACGCCTACTCAGAATTGTCATTTAAGAACATGGCTGGACAAATTAAAATCTAGGAAGGAAAACCAACACTGAAGAACATTTCAGCTATTGATACTCCTGTCTCCCATTAAAAATATTTGCAAACTAACTATGTAGAGTGCTGTTCAAATTCATGTTTTCTTCATTTTGCTGAGAAACTCCAGTTGTAACTTGTCATTCTTGCAGGTGGCACCAATGGTAGAAAACAGAATTTCTTGGTGACATTTGTGATATGGAGAAGTAAGTGTTAGACAATTGTGCTAAGACATCAGGGAGACTCACAGTACATCAAGAAAAAAAGAGAAAAAAAGTTTTAAAAGTGACACACAAAGTTAAAAGTCACTCCACAGGAGACATAAGTGCTGTGGTCAGTCCAGAGCTGGTGGAGAGCAGAGGCGAGGAAGTTGAAAGACACACGAGGTCCCCTCTGCTTCCTTAAGGAGCTAGGCAAAACCTCTAGGGTGATTATAGGCTGTTCAGACTGCTCACCAGTCTTTCCTGACCTGTTCCCTTCTCACTACAGAGAAAAATAACCACTCTTCAATTCTTAACTTGAGGTACTGTAGAAGCTGGCCAGAGCATCAGTACTTCAGCCTGCATGTGCCAGGGTGAGCGTGTTTCCCCATCTTTTTCAGTCAGGCTGAATATGTGATGAGGTCTGTAACAAAGAGGTGACTACAGGCCAGGTCCTGTCCTAGAGAAAGCCTCTTTCAAGTCAGTGCAATTACTTGCATGAGTAACAAGTGGGTGTACTAAGAAAGATTGCATGGCTAGCATTAGTAACAAATTCAACAGCCTTCCAGTATTGTACCTGGTGTTACAGAACCTGAACATTGTAGGATTTGCACTGTTCTCCATGGGTAACCCAAAATTAAAGACAGACAGGATAGAATTATCTGTATTCACAACAACAACAACAAAAAGGCTGCAGTAATTGATTTCTTTTCCCATCCCCCAGGACTGAATGTGGAGCATGCCATGCAGCTTTGCTGGAGTAGCTGGAGAGAAAGGCATTGGAACAAGAGAAAGCCCAGCAGCATGAAAGAGAGCTGAAATGATAAATATGTATGAGTTCAAGTAAAAAATAAACTTGATATTAATATGACCAAAATCTGAGATGTTGATCTGCTGCTGAGTCATGCAGAGCGCTCTGCCAAATGCCTCAGCTAAGAAAGTATTCTGCATAAAGTTGAAAGCGTGCCACAAAACAAAGACTTCCAAATTCCACCCTAAAAAGCTGCAGTGATACCATGACATTCTGATCCTGTTACTTCAAAGAGATGTTAGCTCTTGCTGGCAAGTTTCCTAGGCACTTTCAAGTAAATGGCACAGAAAATGAATAAATAGGAAAAAGAAAGGGGATTGGTGGAATTCCACTGCAGAGTAAAACATAAATATTTTAAAGAACACATTCTTTGGGCTTACTCACCTGCTCACTTTGGTATGTGCTTTATATATATTTATATATAAGCATATATGTATATCATTTCTCTTTCTTGGGGTGTTAGACACAAGCTTATTCTCCATTATTCTAGGCATGCTTGAGGCTATTTCAAAGATTTGTCAGCAAAATACTTAAAATTCCAAATGAAATAATCAGAGGAGCTTTTGGTTATGCAGATTGTAGGGGATGCCAGAACTACTGATCATTTACATTAATCTTACTAGGGCTCATTTATTTGAAGCTGAAACAGAAGATGGCTTTTCAATGTGGTATGTAAAGATTGCAATAATAGTTATGTGCATTGTTTTGATAACCCTTCTGAATAATTGTAAAAAATAAAATAAAATAAAATAAAATAAAATAAAATAAAATAAAATAAAATAAAATAAAATAAAATAAAATAAAATAAAATAAAATAAAAATCTGAAGGTCTGCAGTAGTTTTCAAACACAAAATTAAATGAACATAGTAGCAAGCTTTTTCTAAATATATGGAGGTCCATACATATAGCACTGATTCAAACACTGTCCTCACTCTCTCTGAAAATTAATGCATGATTTGTTCATGGCTTTGTAAGTAAGCAGTTGCAATAAATGTTGGCTTTGTTGGGAGTCACTGTGTACATGCATTGCATCAGCAATTCAGTTAAATATTTTGAAATGGTCAGAGTAGAGGCTGCTAAATAAAGAGGGCAAAATTTAACTCTAAAAGGAGGTTTCCAGGCTTTCAAACAATACACAAATACTCCTACAGGCTTAGAGTAACAACACAGTGCTTCATGGCATCTATTATTATAAATTTAACCTCTCAAAGTCTTTCAGAATTTGTATTTTAATGTCAGAAATTTACTGCATCTAGGATCCAAAATGCTGGTTTTAAGATGCACAGTGTTACACTGTTAAAAGCCCTGCTGGCCAACCCTTGATTTTCTTGCAGTACTAGCCAAACCTGTCTGTGTAGCAATTGTAGCAATGATTTAGATGAGAAGAAGAATGATGGGAATAACCAAAGCAGGATTAAAAATCTCTTACTTAATCCTTCTTTTTTTGTTAATGTTAAAATGTACATACTAAAAGAATAATGAAGTGGACCTTTCATTCTTGATCTGCCTTTCCTGGCGTGCAGCAGGTAAGTTTTGCAATTTCATAAACACTACATAAAGTGTGGGGAAGAAAAAAAAAAAAGAAAAAAAAGCTAATTTACAAATGAAAAATTAAGAGTGTTTACCAAAGCCTAGGACAAACAGGCACTGGGAATCAATGAAGGGAAAAGTAACAAATGCATTTCCTGTGGGATGATGAAATTCTACATCATTCTCAAGAATCAACCCTTCAACAGCTGAGGCTTTCCTTTCATTAATGCCAGCTATATGCGTTACTGGGTCAACTGACAATACAATTTTAATCTGAATCAAATGTGTGTGCACCAATGTGCTTCTGTTTCTTCTGAACTACCAGGAGTGTGGGATATAGTGTTAAAGAAATTTTGTGCTTTTAGCTTACTGTAAGTTGATTGCAAGCAAAATAAATAAATAAATAAAATGAAATCATCATGTCCATTATAAAGCTGGCCAGAAAATAAATAAATAAATAAATAAATGAATGAATAAATAAATAAATAAATAAATAAAGCTACTGCTTTAAAACAATGTTAAATTATTAGGTCGGATGAGTTTGCACCAGACTTGTATTTTTTATAATTCATGCTGGTAACTTTTCTAATCTGTATTTAAGTACCCTGAAGCCAGATTTACCACCCAGTGGAACCATGGCCTGGCCTCCATACCTGTCCTTTCTTGGAGGGCTGTTAGGTAGCTGTAACAGCAAGAACAATGCAGAAGAAATAAATGATTCTTGAGAGCACTTGAAGGAATGGCATTGATACATATGCTCAGAAAATAACTGTTCACTCCTTATTTACTGCTTGGCATTATAATGATACTAAAATGGCTCTTCCAAAACTGGATATTATATACTATACAAGTCCATAGCATGGGCAGTCTCTGCCTCAAAAAAGTTTATGAACCAAATAAGCAAGAAAAAGCATATTCTAAAGAAAAAATCTTTTTAAGATTAAAGTTTGGAAAACCAATTAAAACCATCCAACCTGCAAAATGTCTCAGTGGTGGTGGTTTAACTGGCTAGAATATGTGCTTAGAAAAACAAAATCTCTTGTAGAGTTCGACAGGTGATTTGGAGAAGTAAGAAGTGGAAACAGGTGTGCTGTTTGAAGTTGGCATATTTAATTCATATTAGCAATTTCTGATCAAATACTGAGATTTCCAGTAATGAGTAATGAAGACGCTCTGTTCACGTGGAAAGGCAGACAGTATGTCCATGTAGATGTCACAGACTGTGAGAGGCCGCAGCAGTGGGCCTGGATGAGTGTGACAGCCAGAGCGACCCCAGGGCCCAGTTCTGAGGTCTTCCAGGAAGACCTGGGCCTGCCCATAGACATGCATAGGATCTAGGAGGAAAAAGATCAAGTCTATTGAGAGTCACAATCTTACACCTTACGTATTGGGATACCAGATGAGGAGATATCTCAGTCTCACTGGGGGTTTACAGAGAAGGCCTCTGAAACAGAAATTGGGCCTTGTGCAGTGCTGGGCAATTAGTTGTACTGAGTAATTTAGTGAAGTGATCCAAGAGTCCTGTATTATAAAGGACCCATTGATGCTTAATTACTATTTTTATGAATGTAACAAAAAGCAAGTATTAAAAAGTACTCTCAGATCTGAGCAGAAAGTACGATGCTGAATGATGTTCCTAACTGAAGTATATTTTAGGAGTATTACAGAGACCTTAAGCTGAATTTGCAGTCAGGAATTCAAACATCACATTGCAGATTGCTATTAAAGATGTTGGTTTCCTGACATCTGCTACCCTACTTACAAAGAACAAGTGCTGGCTACTGTAACTGTTGCTTTGTCGTGAAAACATTTACAGATGATTAAAACAGGTCAGTACATTTTTCTTTGCCAAGAGCCAGGTTATTTTCTACTGAGAGAAAACTATGTAGAGGCTGGAACTTTGTACAGTTACTATTTGGTATTTCTCACTGACCACAGAGGATGGCTGGGATTTGTGGCTCTACCGGAGCCTCTCCACCCTCTGCACCCTCAGGGCAGTCAGACCTTGCAACAACTCTGGCAGCCTGGGGCTTTGCTCCAGAGGTATCCCCAAGTCATTTCTTTCTTCTTCCAGAGGCTCCCTCTGTCATTTCTTTCCTCATGATACCACTGGGAACATCCACTTCCTGACGGCGGTTTATGTCTGAGGGCTGAGCTGACACAAGGGCAGATCCTGGCAGCTGCTCCCCCATGACAGCACACCTCCATCCAGTGACCACGTCCATCAGGCAGCCTGCAAGGGGAGTGAGACTGTCACTAGATAAATCCCATTTCCATTCCATATAGCAAAGGATATTTCTTAGATGGAAATAACTTGTGTAGCAAAGGCAGTCCAAGAAACAAAACCACAATCATCCAATGCCATGCAATGCCAATTCCAATCCAATGCAAAGATGCTGAGAGAAAACTACAATTGCCTGATCTACAGATCGAGCAAACATCCCAGGGGTCCTGGCTAAAGCACAGGATCTTTGAGCCATTCTCACCCTTCCACCTCTACCAGTGCAACTCAAAGAGCAGACCACGTGATGGTAACTAGTGCCTTTATTGAGTACCTGTAGTATGCCATTTATCTGGAGATATTTTTTCTCTGTTTTTCCCCATCATCATTAGCAATTTACATTTAATGAGTAGCCTACACTTATTTTTATGGCTGATGTTTCACAGCAGCAAATAAAAAATACTCTACTGCATTTGGGCAGCATGCAAGTGGATCCTAATCCTACATTGAACTGTTCCTGGAGGGAGTGCCTCCTGTCCTTTCTCCTCAGAGAGCAGGGATGGAGCTGCCAGAAAGGCCCGCTGAGAAAATAAAAGGCCATCAGCCATTGTGGGTGAACGTGGTCCCTTTGAAGAGACCTCTTTGCTGCGGACTTCAGGGACTGAGCATACTGTGCCCTGCACTTGTTTGTTACAGAAAGCTGTGACAGTTGAACAGCGCCCAACAAATCACCGAGCTGCTGTGTCACCAACCTCAGCCTACCAGACAGCACAGGCGAGGGGGCATCATGCACAGCATCCAGGCATCTCCACCCCGGCCGCTTGTGTCAGCAGTTTCACATCACCTTTGCCCCCAGCTACATTCAAACATGATGAGGTCTTGTCACACATGCATTTTTGGTTACACGAGCAATCGTTAGTTCATCGGCTGCCTTTTTACCCTCTTCCTGCCTCCTGAGAGTCTGCTGTCAGCAGAGGCAAGCTGCGTTTTCCAGCAGCTGAGGAAGGCAGCAGTGGGACGGCGGGGACCTGCAGGATGGCAGCGTGTCACTCGGTGTCAGAACTGGGCAACAAATGGGGGCAGTCTCTGCACAGAGTGAATGAGAAGGGCTATTTAGGGGAAATAACAGAAAGCATCGGTAACAGCAAGCATCCTTTCAGGCACTGACAGTCAGAACTGTCCTTACATGCCCCCAGTGGAGGCCCCGGATCTTCCTGTGCATTTGTGGAGCAATTAACAGGTTCAGGTCCTGTCCTAATAAATAACCTGGTTGTAATAACATAATTCAGCCATATCATACTCATATAATACAAATACGTGCACAAAAGGGCTGATTTAAGAGGATGTGGGCTGTCTTGATTCCTGCTTTCCCCAACAGCTGAAAACTTGACCATTTGACTTTGGTAACAATCTTCAGTCTTTCAGTGTGGTATTTTCTATGCAAGGAGTACACAGGTACCTCTATCAGTACATCTGTCTATACTTGAAACAACAACAGATACATTTTTTTCGATCAGGTTGAAAAGTTTTTCTCTATTTACTTTGTTTGCTCTGCCATTGGCAATTCCTAGACAACAACAGAATGTATTTCTCACTTCATAACCATTCAGCCTCTTTCCAGGAAGCTGTCAAGGACTTTTAAATGTACGCTTATTAAATCTTCTTCCTCGTTCCACTGTCTTGTTGATACATAGTCCTATGCTCATAAAGCAGGATGAACTGCTGTACGTGTAGCTTGTCCATCAGATGTGCAGAACGAAAGGCAAAATGGAGTGTACCGTTCCTCCCGTTCAGGAACTGCTCTGCTCTGTTCTCATTAGAAGTCAGTTGCCTACCAAAAGTACATCCCCTCTTCGAACTTTGGTGTAAAGTTCAGTCCAAATCTGTCTGCAGACCAGAGATCCCTAGAAAGGTACAAAGCCAAGAAATCTAGCATCTTTCAACATTATAGCCATACTAGGAAGACACAAAGAATAAGACTCAGGGGGCTTCTATAACTAGCTACAAATCTACTGTAGTCATTCTGGGCTTGCTGCAGCACACAGCGAGTGTGAGTCAGAGTTCCCGAGGCTTACAGTTAACAACATCTCTAAAAGGGAGAAATGATCAATATCATTTTTCTCAGTGAGTGATTAAGACTGCTTTTAACAATGCAGTCGTGCATGCCATGTACTAAAAGGGATGATTCATTAGTTACTGGGAAGAGGAGCATTTCTTTTCTCAATTCAAAAGCCAGAGGGATTAGCCAGTGTCCCATTAGCATGGCTGATTAGCATGTAGAGAGGAGAGGAAATACTGGCTACTTTTGTCCACGTCCTCACATCTGCAGTGCTCCTCTCATCAATTCAAGAAAGAAATGTGGGTATTTTCTATGCAGCAGTGACATGGTTTGATTTGCGTAAGTCTGATACCAGAGGTGGCTGCTGGCAGCTCCCTCCTCTGCCCTGCAGCCAGCGCGGAGCGTGGTCCTCTTGGTCCTGCCGAGTGGCCCAAACAGCCACACCAGCTGCTCTGCACATCCCGCTCTGATGTTGCCCCGGCTCATACACAGGAAATTTGCTCATTCTGCTGTTTGTGGGGATTGCCTCTTCTGAAATGAAAGAGAACAGTTACAGGTAGAAGTGGCAATGAGGACAATGACAGTAGTGGATTTCTTCTTATTTGAACCACACCGTTGCTGAAATTAAATTCGTAACAACTCTTCCCAACTTCCCATCACCTCTAGCATGATAAGCACAGTCTTCCTTTTTGAGATGGTGTCATGCGTACAGTAAAGAATATGTCACTCCTGAGCCTTTTTAAGCCTGGGTAGCTTCGCATTGTACTGTACTCTTTGCAAGGCCCTGGTGGTGCAGTACAGTCGCGTGGTGGCATAACCGTTTGAAAGGTAACGCTGGAATTTCTTAACATTCTTTCTCCCACGAGGAGAAATGAGGTTGTCAAAGCCTGCATGTTAAACAACTCCAGGAAGTGGAAATTGATGTTGCTGTCTCTTCATCACAACACAAATTTAATCTATGGCCAAGTACAAAGCACTTTATTTATTTTTTTTTGTTTTTTTGAAAAGACTGATCAAAATTGTCACATGTAATCTCCTTCCCCCTTCTTTGTCCAAATGTCAGATGCAAGTATGACTTACATGCAGCTCATTTTGCATGCTACTAACTGCGATCTCATGTAATAATCCTTCGGACACACTGTACTCAGCAAACTGGCAGCAATTCCAAGACTGATATATGTGGCAGGCTTCTGGCATCAGCATTCAGTGTCTGCAATGCACATATACGTACCATGCCCTTGCATCCAAATGTAACCACCACTCTACTCCTAAGCACACTTACATCCTGGACTCTACCCATTGCATAAAAGCCCTGCATCATTCATCCGTGGGCTAACCTCTTGTACCTATGCTTCTCTCTCTGCTTTTACTCAGTCTTTACTCTGACCTAATCCTGGTTATCCTCTATGCCTTTCACCTTTCTCCCCTGTCACTGGTTGCCTCCTCGGCTGCCACAGCACCAGCTATTTATGCAGAATGATTTATCTTCTTTTCCCTTACTCATGCTTCTCTTTTTCTTGGAGCAGTCTGAGTGGGATGATAGGAGATATAGCCTTCATCACCCAGGACAACGCTGGCCCATGTGAAGTGGTAGCAACTCTAAGGGGTGGATCAGCTACCCTTACATATGAGCCCTTATATCCCTATCCCTAAGGTACAGTCCTTCCCTCCCCAACTATATACTGCCCTGAACATGGTCCACCCTTAAATCTTCTGTGATGGCTGGTATTTATTAGCAGCCTTTCATTACCCAAATCCCTTCTTATTTTGCCTTGTTGAGTGCAGAGCGTGCTTCCCATATTGATGGAGTTGAAGAGTCTCTGCAGGTGTCTGTCTAGCTGAGTTCTTGTTAGAATAACTGCTTCAACACCACAAGGACTTTGTTTCATATTATTAATTATGCAAGGGTGCTTAAATCCTTGGCTACACAAATTCCATACCATTCCAAACATCCAATTTGAAGCAAATGTATTACTAGGCAAACAAGATGATCTTTGGGGAAAAAAAAAAATAAAAAAAAATATATATATATATATCAATTTTTAATGAATGTCAAGATAATATTCTGGTTTAAAACAAGGATATTTTTTGTATGTTTGAAGGTCAAAAAATGTCTATTGAAAACCAAACAATGGAATTGAAACATGACCAAGATTTCTTTTAATTAAGTAGTGGAATATATTGACCAAAAAAAGGCTCTTCTGTGAATGTTTCTTCTCTAGTCAAAAAGCTGAATCTCCTGAACATATCTGGTGTCCAACGTGCACTGTGCATAAAATTATCATCATTATATCTACATATATAACCACTGAAGAACATTTTTTTCCATATTAAACCAGAGCATTATAAATTCCGTATGTGAGATGTTATGTAACTTACATTATTTTTTCTTTCATTATGCTTCAGCTTTCACCAGAAGCTTCACAGACAAATAAATCATTAGTCATTTAACTGGTGGTATATAGATTTGTCATCTTTGGCAGGGTTTTGCTTTTAAGCTTGAGTTAAAGCAATTCATTTGTGTCCTAAGTGACATAAGTACATAAACTTCGCTGCAGCAGATTTCCAATAGTGCTCAACACAGAACAAGGTCAGACCTGGAGAAGGAAAAATGAGCACAACACTGAATGACTGCTAAGATTTTTTTCTGTAACTCAAGCAAGCTTGTATGTTACTCTCCTGACATTTCCTTGGAAATGCCCTCGACATCTTAGCTAAAACATTTCCTGCCTTCTCCCTTCTGCTCCCCACAAGAAACAGCCAGAGCTATCTATTTATCATTGAAAACTTCTGAACAATTTATTTACATTTACAAAAGTAAGAAGGAACTGAAAACGGTACCATTCAACTGAAAGAGTTTGGCAGTATTTTCCTAGGTGTTAATATCTGTGCTCTGCATAATGGAAAAAGTGCCATTATTTTAATCAGTAATTCAGTGAGATGGTTACTCCGCCACCCTCTGAAAGTCACCTGTGACTGTTAATATATAACTCACAGATGTGCAGTTCTTCCCTAAAGTGTTATTTCAGGCACTACAGGGGAATTCCCTCTGATATCCATGCCAGAAAAGAAGCACACTGGCAGGTGTACTTTCAAAGAGGGGGAAATCGGTTGCAACACCAGCTTGGGAACATCATCCTCCTCTCCCTGCCTTGCCTCAGGCTGCTTCTGCACACTCATGCAGCTCTGCAACTGCTACAGGTCACTGAGCTGACCCAAGTTACAAACTATCTTTTTTATTTAGAGTATGTTCTTAATCCAGATTGCTTTTGTTATCAGAGTGACACCAGAAACTGCAGCGCTGGTGCAACTAAGGAAGTCAGGCCCTGGGATGCAGCGGGGAGAAAAGCAGTCAGGATTGCTGGCACCACCAAGGAAGCATGCCTTGGTTCAGATGGTCTCTTCCCTTAATAAAGGTAGACTGCAATCAAAAACGTGTTGTCATAATGCCATTAACAGAAAATTCATACAAAAAAAAAGTATAATAAATTGGTTCAAAAAAGACTAAGACTGAACAGTAAAAAATGTTCTATATGTGGCTTCTGCAGAAAAAAGTAGCTATATACATGGGTGCTAGCGAACATACATAAGTACAGAAACCTGTGTCCAATGTATACATATAAACATGCAAAAATCATCTCTAAATTTAAAATAAATGCACTCACGAGTTTTCACCGCCCTTCAAAGCCTGCATGTGGCTCTGATCCCCTGAACAGCCAGCTCATGAGAGCAACAACCAGAAAAGCCAATAGAGGGAGCATGTCGCCCGGTTTTCCTGAGTGACAGCCGTTTTCAGCTTGTGATAACCCTGAGAGAAGGACAGCCAAAGACAGAGGATGAAAATGTCTTAGGGAGCAGTCCTAGGGCTAGATCGAGTTACCCTGCAAAGAGGAGGGGCAGCAGCAACACCTACTTGCCCAGGGCATGGGCAAGAGGGCTGCAGCTGCCCATCTGCCTTCTTTTCCTCCTGCACACATCTTCAAGTTCACACCTGAGCCCAGCAAGGAGTCAAAAATTGCTGTGATTTCCCTCTTCTGCAGTCATTGGCCTGTCCCATCCCAGCCTTCTCTCTGCACATTGCAGGATGGAGATTTCCCTGGAGGTCTTTAAAAGATGTTTAGATGTTGAGCTTAGCGATATATTTTAGTGGAGGACTTGCTAGTCAGAGGTTGGACTCTATGATCTTTAGGTCTCTTCCAACCTAGACAATTCTGTGATTCTGTGATTCCTTGATTTAGAAGAATTTCATCCCCCCTAAGCAATAGACAGCTGCCTAGAAATGAGGGAAGAATGCAGTAAGTAAAGTCTACTATTCTGTTGAACAAAAAGAAGAATTAGAAAATGAATAATTAACTGTATGTCACAGACAACATAAAGGCAGCAGTATGAAGCAGAATCAATATTATTACGGCATTCAGAAGACAGAATATACAGAAGTAGCACAGAGTTGTTACTGTGACTACAGCCTATATGCCTGATTTTCAACAGATCAAATATGTTTATTCTAATTTACATGAGGGAAAAAAAAAAAAAAAATAGAAACCTTTAACCCATGGATATAGTTATTGTCAGCCCAGAAAGCTGGTAGTTATTTTTTCAACTGCAAAGCCCAGAAGGCCCAGCCTAGTCAGAATTGCATTTGCTGAGCATGATACAGATCTGTACCAAGAGCCTTCACCTCACTTTGCATTTTATTGTTCAAAAAAGAGTGGATAAGGCATTTTTATATTTGAAGGAGATGGGGGCTGTAACCAAAAAAAAGTTTGACAGAAAGTTGATCTTAGCAAACAAACCTAGATTTGATTCAGCCTTTGAAATCAAAGGACTAGCAACTGAAAAACATTTGTTTGGAAGTAATGACTTTTATAAGATGTGTAACTGAGTATATGCATCCTCAGCTTAAACATAACTATGAATAAACGAGAAATTGGCAAACAGTGCATGGCAAACACACGTGCTACTTACTGTGGCATACCTGTGAGCTCCCTCTGCAGAAAGACTGGCCACCAGAGTGTGCACCAGCTAACTTGTGTGTCTGTAAAACTTAACAGGCACAGAGCATACAATATTTATACATTAAAATTATACTAAGAGCTCCCCCCCACGCAGCTAAGGTCTAATAATACTTCAGTGTTTGTCTCCTGGGGAGCAAGAGCAGGTTTTAGGATTGCAGCATAAATAGTTAAGCAAGGGTCATGAAGCAGTGGAACAGAAGAGGAACACTCTATGCCCTTCAACTCCCAGGCACTGCAACACAAGGCTTTAAATAAAGGTGGCATTATTTTTATTGTAAAACCCATGTAAAGGGTTTCATGTCTTGATATGGGTTTGCCTTTTTTTTTTTTTTTTTTTTTTTCCTCCTTGCATTACTGGAGAGACACAATTTGAGGAACATATTCTGCACAGTGATGTGATTCAGCAACTTTCTGGAAAACATAAACGCAGCCTTTTTTTCAATACACTAATGAAACACAACTGGCAATAATTTCCTTTGAATTGAGCTTAACTGAAAGCAGGCAATGTACCACGTAACCTGAAGCTCCGTGGTCTTGGATCACAGTGTCATTTTTCATGTTCTTTTATATGACTGAGTATGAGCTGAACAAACCCTGCTGCTCGTACCAGGCCAATGACAACAAACACATTGGTGTAGGAGCTGTTGTGTTACCCAGAGCAGCTCAGCAAACGCATTTTCCTTTTAATCTAGATTCTAGGTAGCTTTTGTCCATACCAACATGTGAGGCTGTTGGCTCTCAGTATCTCCCAAGGGCATATCCACAGAAAGGTTATCCTGCAATTCCACGAGGGCAAAGTCCACTGCCATGAGGTTGCCTTGTCATTATTTTTTTTTTAATTTTTGCTCAAGGGCACAAGATTGAATGGGGCTTAGTAACTCCACTGTAGAAGCACTATATAATTTTGCATATTTGGTATTCTTTACCCAGAAGTGCTCCAAGTGTGAGAAATCAGATGAGAAATCAAAAAAAAAAAAAAATTGCCTTAAAGGAACAAATCCCCACTCTCTGATTCTGTGACATGAAGAGCAGTAAAAAAAGAGTTTAGGAAGCCATAGCTGTGGTACTTCAAGGCCATATTTCCCATGTAAAATATCCCAAGACATGCTTGTCCATAGGATAGAGGATTCCTACCTCCAGGTGGGCACAGTGCGGTAGCTAGCCCTGGTAAGTGCTGAGTGCCTTTTCTGGGATGCGCTGTTCTTCTTCACGCAACACACAGGAGCGATGGGCAGCATATGTCCTGCACCCCACCATCCCCTTCCTGCCCTGTACTACCAGACAGCTGTGGTGGCAGCTCTGCAGCACCCACAGCTTTGTGCAGCGCGGGTGCCACCACCGCTGTGATCAGCCTGACGAGGAGAAGTGCTGCGCAAGCATTAGCCGCTATTGTTCCTGGCAGAGCTGCATGGGGCGTTTGCAAGCAGTGCCCGTGGGGCTGGCTAACCACTAACCAGCTGGAGCCTTTGCTCTTAGAAGCACCAAGCAATATTCACCAAACATATTCCCATCTGAAAAAAAAAAAAATGTCATTCTGACAACAAAGTCTTCCAGTGACTAAGCGACCAGCGCGTTCCTGGCATTAAATAGCTGGCAGAATTTCTATCATAAACACTGCTATCAGGCCATTGCAACTCAGCTGTAAAAACTTGCTCCAGGCTGATATTTGGCAAACAAGAGCCAGCAAGATAATCCTTTTTTAAACACATTATCCTACTTGAGTAATCTACAGACATGGGAATTGAGAAGTCTGCAGACGTGGGGCCCACAGACACCTTTGCTGATGGTCCCTGCTGATGTGGAGAAGGGCAGCAGAGGAAGAGAGCACCTGGCCATCCCAGAGCTGTGGCACCAAGGCTTTCCTTTTACCTCCAAATGCCATCAGTGGTTGAGACACAGGTGCTGGGGAGGCACAGGGCAGACAGAGCAGAAAAGCTGCAGCCAGTGAGGAGACCCAGAGACTTTTCCCAGGAGAAAAGCCCATCTCCCAGGGGCGCACACATACAGAGACACTGATCACCTTTTTGAAGAGAGCTGCTGGAAACCCAGAGTCCCACCTAGCCATAGACATGCTTCCTCCTACATCTGGTGTCACCAACTTTCCCACAGAAGTGATGGAAAAATTGCACCTATTTCTGTGTCAGAGGAAAGGCCTGCTGTTACTTCAAAGCAGCTTCTTGGTCATAATGCCACAATTCTACACTGGTTACCACAATCCTCTGTTATTTCAAAAGGTTTCCTGGACTCTGCCACATCTGACGAATGTTTTGGTTGAAAAAAAAAAATGTCATGCACCAGCCCTTCTGAATGGGGTTTGGCAGATCTGGGCAGAATATCCTCAGGACAAAAACGTGGTTAAATGCAACAGGGCTGGAAAACTCAGCACTAAACAAATGGTAATGATGCTTCATGTGTCCTTCTTAAAGTGTTCAGGATTTATAGTCAGGAATACTCCTTTCATTGATTTCATTATTAAAAGTCTGTTATAGCTAAGGTGTTTTTTTAAATGCTGATTCTCATTTCCAAATGCCCTGAGGGAGCAACAGCCGCAACAATAAAATTAGGAACCCATTACTGAAGATAAAATTAGAATAACTAAGCCCAACACTACGCTGGGAAAATGCAGCGTTAAAATGTATGAGGTAAAATGCTTTCTAACTATCACAACATTAAACTTCATTTTGTCCTTGGAATGGGCAAGGGCAGAAATTTGTGACAAGCTACCATGTCATTAAATGCAACTGCATTTTCTGCAAGTTATGAGTTGATTCAGTGATGTTTTTTCTCAGCATAGCTAAAGCCAAAGAGGCTTAAGATGGGTTTCATTCATTTTTAATTAATAAGACTTTTTTCTTAATGCTTTAAATGTTTTTAACCCTTCGTTCCTCCAGAATTTGGATTCAGGGAAATACTGAGAATATAGATGGTTTAGCTTTCAGTCCTGTTTACACAGGAGACCTAGAGGGATGTCTGATGTGAAAGCAATTCCTTGCTAAGAGTGGAGAAGCCTTTGCTATCACAGCCACCTCAATGGCAAAAGTGCAGAAGGTGCCAGATATCCACCTATCTACAATGGGCAACAGCTCAGATAGGTATTTTGTGGTGAAATTTCCTTATGTAGGTAGGAGTGTGTTTCAGACCAAAACCATCACTGTGCTCTGGATTAGACTTCCATTGTCACTCCTGAACAAGCGCCTCCATGAGACAGCGTTACACTGCCTGCATGTAGCGCACGTACAGGTTGGGCAGGCTGGAGAATGATGATTCGTCACAGTGAAAAATGTATTGCCTTTTTTTTTTCCGTAGGAAAAAAAGAAATGGCATATTTCCAAAACGCAAATTGTGTCATAAAATCTGAAGTGGGTTGGGAGAGGGGAGTTGCTCCAGTATTCTCCTTTATACACGAGGTAACTCCCTCCTTCCTCCTCCTCCTCCAGCCTCGAACGTGTGGCTGTCACACACTCTCTAAGAAAATATTGTGAAATGCATTCACCAAACATTCTGACACTGATGAAGAAGAATCACTGAAATGAAAAAATATTGAAAATATTTGATAATGTGAAAACACTGTTGAGAATATTGCTTCACATAACGAACAGCTCGTTTGCTATTCCTGGCTGTTGGAGTCTAGCTCAGTGCTTTTGCAATAGATATTTTTAAATAAAAGCTAAATAACATGTTTGTCTTATATTACATACTTGAAACATTTGTGGAAACAAACAAGCACCCTCTTTTCATGTGGTGGTGTCTGTAGGTCTTGAAACTAGTAGATAGACTGAATACGTGGGGGTTTCACAAACCATTCCCCAGCAAAAATCTGCGCATAGGAGCTGACTCCTTATCTGCACTTCAATCGGCTGAGCTTATTGTTAAAGTTTTACAAAGCAACCCAGCAGCAAGGTGAAAGATGAAGAGATTATTGAATAATAGATAAGAATATTTTTAGTCAGCTCAGATGTATTCATGTAGCTGAGAACACACCGGGAAAAAGCCCGCAGAAAGGCACTGGCTGGATTCCAGCAGAGGCAGACCTGCTGTCAGTGCCCCACGAGGGCCGGGGGCCTCCTGGGGCTGGGGGCTCCCCGTGGCTCCACCAGGGCAGGGCCTGTCCCACTGCCCAGCCAGGAGCAGGGCACGGGGCACCGGACACCTCCTTGGGGATGGGGATGTTTTTGCTTTCTTTTCATTCAGAGCTTTAAAAGCCCTGCAATCCTGCTCTTCAATCTGTAGCAGCTGGAACTGTAAACTTGTTCCCAAGGCTGTTCCTTCCCATCAGGTTTCATCAGCCAAATGCAGGGGCAACGCAGAACTTTTAATGTCCAGGAAAGGACCCTCCCAAAGTGCAAAAGAAAGAAATGAGCCAATGATCTGATTCCAGCACTGCTCTGCTTCTTGCCCTGCATCCTCTACCCAAGCTGGGATATTGCTCAGTTATTATGGCCTGAAGAGACAAAGATTTTTAAAGAACTTTTCACTGCCTGAGCCAGCCCACTCCCTATTGTCTCTCCATTTTAATGAAGATCACAGAGCAGTCGAAATCTTTGATCTCACCACAGATCCTGAGAGCCTCTGAAGAAGTGGAGGTATCATTCACTTAAAAGATAGGGAAGTACTGACTGAAACTGCAGCTACTGAAACAAAGTGCCAGTGAAAAATGAGAAGTCACTTGGATATTCAGAACTTCATTTATGACAAACCATTTCCGAAAGGAACTGCCTCTTGTGTCACCGGGAACAAAAATAGAGGAACCTCTACACTAAATCAGGCTTGGCATTCAGGCTAAATCCTTGAACAGGGCCCATCCCTCCGTGACACTGCGCGCAGAGCAGAAATGCCCTCACCTCACCTCTTGTGTAACTGTGAGGTTATACACAACAGGGGTCTGAAAATCTTTTGAAAGACAGTTGTAAATGGGGAAAACTTATCTCTACTTACTACGTGGGAAGCACAGTCCTTCACAGTGTAATGGACTGAATGCCCCACAAACACTGTACAGTGTGGAAAGACCCAATTTTTGGGGGCAGAGACAACCAACAACCCACAGCACCAAGGAGCTCAGTGCTGCTTCATTCACCCAGATGTTCTGGCAGGAATTTTTCCTGAACTCTGTGCTGCCCTGTAGCTTTACTTCTGAGTTAACAAGTTAGCTTGGATGTGTCTAAGCTGTACTTTGGGTCCTGGAGAAAAAAAGCAAGTATGAACTGGAGCCTGAGACTGCAGCAGAGATATAGCCCAGCATTTTTACTGCTGTCCTGTCCAGCAAAGCCTTTCAGCACACAGAGCTCTAAGGCTCTGAACAGACTTGGCAACTGCATTAATTTAACAATGGTGAAGTGTCTTTTGAGCTCCCTGCTGGACTGGGAGTTATCTCCGAAGCATTTTATAACACAGTAGAGCTTCAGAAAGCAGAAAACAACGGTTATTGAGTTTCTTTCCTCTCCACCCGGATGCCCTGGAACTAGGATGTTTTGGCATAAAAACCAGACATATTAAAGCAATTGCCAGAGGACATCCAAAGTCCCAGCAAAGTCTTTTTTGAGAGGTATTGACAGGTACAGACAGGGCACCTGTCCCAAGGCCAGAAAAGCCCAAGTGCGAGGTGACACAAGGCAGGGTGTACAACTGCAGGGAGCTCCAGGTCATCTTCCCATGAGGGCTCAGCCAGGCTGCTGTGCCAGGCACAGAAGGCTACTGCAAGCAGCCCCGCCTAGCAAGAAAATTGTGATTAATAATTTGTAGGTGATATTCTCCCATAGGATCTCACCACAGCTCTTGCAGATCACAAGGAAGTGTAGGACTCATCTGCATGCTGACCCACTGCTTTTGCAGCTGTTTTGGTCCACCGTCTGCATCTTCTGCTTCCCAGCTCCCTCCAAGTGAGGTTTTGGGATGGATGAAATACTGAAAATGTCCCTGCCTGCAGACTGCACTATTTGAAATGGCTGTGCTAGCTGCTCTTCACCTCCTGTAATTGCACCATTTGGCATTTGAAGCTGTGTTTTTATTTCTGGGGAAGAATGTACATGCCTCAACCCTCCTTCTCAGATGTGCCACCCCACGACTCTTCCTTTCTTCCTTAAGCTACAATTTGGTATTCTTTCAAGTGTGCAAGATTGCCAATAAAGCAGCCCCTGATTTCTCCCACTCCCACATCACTCCCAGATCATCTGCTGTACTGTGCCATCATAAATATTTGTGTGGCCATGTGGTGAACCAGATCAGGGAACTGATCCAGCTGAAAAACAGCCCTTGGGAAAAAAAAAAAAAAAAAAAAAAAAAAAAAGCAGCAATTTTTTCCAATATAGTGTGCCACAGGGTCATATAAATGCTTGTGTTGGGATTGTTAGGAACTTTCTGTAAGAACGGGAATGGCTGACTGCAAGAAGCAAGGGGAAACAGCCTGCTGTTTTAAGCAGCTCTGCTGGCCTCAATGCGGTGCCACCTTTTGGTGTATGCTTTCATCAGCATTTGTCCCTAGAAAGCATGTAGAAACCTCTGTCTTGGGAACATATGCCTGTGAATAGGCATAAAAGTTCCCAGCCCCTCCTGAATGCCTGGGGAAAACTTCTTTGCACAGTGATATCTCACTCTTGCCTTGATTTGAGGCCAAGACCATAATCTCCAAGACAGTGTCCTTTCATCTAAGAAGAGCTTCCTCCTATCAACAACAAGATCAGGGATCCTTCGGAATCAGCCGCTAGCATTTCAGAGGCAAACAGAGCATTTCTCCTTATCTCACTCTCTCCAGATTTGAAGACTGATGTAACAGAATGCTGCCTGGTTACCTATTCCACAGCCCTACCTTGTAAATTGGAGGAAAAAGTCTGGAAGTATTACCCTTTGATTGCATTTTACCAAGAAGCCTTTTGAATTAGCTCATCTCCCCATTTAACAGGTTCTAATAAACTAAGCCTAAACATAGAGACAGGAAGTCCTGACATGAATTCTTTCAATTTCACTTATTTTTGTCTCGTTTTCTTTGCTTAAAATAAAGCAACAATTCCACTAGCTGATATTTCTCAGGATAGCTGTGGTAATGTTATGTGAAACACTTGAAAATTGCAGTGAAATACAAACTTACTGCTAAAAAATAAAGCTGTGCAGAATACAAAAATGTCCTTCCTTTGCCTCCTCTAATTCAAAAAGGAGTCAGGAACTACTGTTTCCTCCCCGTTGGTTTGTGGTGTGAGACAGCAAGGATATGAAACTGGCTGATCCCATGAGTGGGAGGACTGACTACAATGAGAAACCTTTTTTTTTCTTTCATTGTTTCCAACAACTGTACAATTAACTTAAATTGTGGCCGTCTTTTCGGCAGTGAGTTCATGTATTCAGACTAAGGATAGTGTCTAAGTGAACATTACAATTTCCTGAAGAGGTTGCAGATCGGCAGTCTTCCCTGAAATCATATACCATCACTTACCCTGCAGTAAACTAGAAACACGAAGGCAGTGTGTTATCATACGCTAGGAGACTTCCTTCACCAGTGTCTGTACCACGGCCAGCTTTGGGACAGAGCCATGACACATAAGTTGATGGACATATTTAGCTTGAGGAGTTTATGCAGTAAACAACATGGGAAATTGTGCATAAAGACAACAGGAAGGGACCGATCCTGGTCATCTCTACTATTTGAGAAGCCCTGCTAATTTTGGAGAAAGCAGAGCAGGATCTGGCTATGTAACAAACAGGCAAGCATTTTTAGATGATAAACTGGGTTGAACTCTAGGAACTACAGAGGATGTAAAATCTACTGCTGGGTAGAGACTGCATAAGGAAGGTTTGTTTTTCACATACCCTTGAGAAAGAGCTGCTTTTGAATTTTTCCTCCAATTCAATTGCTGGTGCCCCACATTTCATTCTGTCTCTACTTCTGCCTGTAATAGCATTGCTGTTGGAGCTATGATGGTCTCAGGGTAGAGGCAACATTTGTTAGAAGTCCTTTTTTTTTTTTTTTTTTTTTGATTAAGTGGTATATTTGGGGGGGAAAAAAGCAGCCAGATTTTCAGGTCCACAAATCTATCTCTGCACCACTGGAAAGTTGATGTGCCTAGAAATGTCTTTGGACTTTTTCTAGATACATCTAACAAAATATAACAATATTCCTCCAGTGCTCCCCTCCTTGATTTTATGCACAGCTCTCCGTGGTAAAGCTTCCTCTTAGCCCTCTCTCTGTTCTGACAGCACTCACAGTCTTGCCTGGACCCAGGAAGCTGTCACACACTCATTTCCACCTTTCTGGCCATTCTTCTCACCCTGCCCCACCACGCCCTTTAGGCCTCTCTGAGCAGATCCT